AGAAGGAAGAACAAGAGAAGGAGCCACTCGAGGTCAAAGACCAAATTCTTCTATCTGGTTTAGGAGGGTCCAAACAAACAAAATCAAGTAAAAGTGAGAGCTTAGAGGCAAAAACTGATTCCTCACCCCTCAACCCTCTATGGAACCCAAAATCCCAATTAAGAGACAATGGGAGGATGGGGGGAGAAAGAAAACTCGAAATAGACTCCTTTTTATAGAGGGAAATAGAAAAAAAGGAAGGGATAGAGGTCTTTTAATGGTTGGTTGCCCACCCAAACATCTTCCCCCAAAAAGCACAGAATTACCATTGCAGACATCATACCTTACGAACTTGAGAAATTTTGGGAGGATGCCAAAGACCGCCTTCCAAGGTGTAGTGAGTGTGACTCGTTGCGATGCCCCAGCATCCCAACCAGATTTAGAACAGCCATGGATACTACCCACCACCTCGTGCCACAATCTCTCTCTTTCCAGAGGCTACCTCCATAACCACTTGCCCAAAAGAGCTTCATTCTTATTTACTAACCCTAAGCCCCCTTGTTCCTTGCTTCGACTCATCACCTCCCATCTAATCAAATGATCCTTTTTCTCTGCACTTGGCTCCCACAAAAAATCCCTCATCAACTTTTCTATCTTCTTGACTTTCCTAATAGGTATCCTAAAAACAGACAAAAAGTAGATGGGTAAATTTGCAAGTGTAGCCCTAATCAAAGTTATTCTACCCCCTAGAGAGATATAGTTCTTTTTCCAGGTCACTAGCCTTTTTTTAAACTTCTCTACCACTAGGATCCAAAACCTACTTTCCTTTGGATTTGCACCTAGGGGAAGTACTAGATAGGTCAAGGGCCAACCAGAAATAGGGCATTCTAAGCAGGCAACAATAGACTCCAAATCCCTTCCCTCCACATTTATTCCCACCACACATGTTTTTTTTTTTTTGATAATTTATCCCCACCACACATGTTGTTGTTGTTTTTTTTTTTTTTTTTTTAAAAAAGCACATAATGTTGTTTTAAGAACAGTTATCTACGCACATTGGCACTATAAGTTATATAATACCTTTGCTAGCAATTATATATCCTCTATTCTCTAATTATGAAACAAGGGAATCATCATGGGAAAAGAACCGAGTACCTTCAAAGCATTCAGTCTGAGGAATAGATAGTGCTTCCATGAAGCCTAGTTCATAGACATGTGAGATAAGTGGTGCCATACCATGGTAACGCAAGCCTCCTGCAAGAAGAACCAAAACTTAGGATGAGATACTAATGGAAAATGTAGAGACAAAAAGCTTCCCGTACCCAAATAATTATTACCAGCATGAATGGGGTCCGGAATGAAGTCATGTCCAAGAGTATGCATCTTCATTAATGGTGTCATCCCAGCTGTATCTCCATAGTCATATGTGTAGACACCTTTTGTTAGCGAAGGGCATGCTGCAGGCTCAACTGCCCTTATAACAGGGTTAATTTTCCCATTGAGCTTCTCCCGAATAAAAGGAAATGCAAGTCCTGCAAAATTGGATCCTCCACCTGTACAGCCAATGATCACATCTGGTGTCTCTCCTATTGCTTCCATCTGCTTTATACATTCCTCACCAATGACAGTCTGGTGTAGTAGGACATGATTCAGAACACTCCCCAGACAATACTTGGTATCAGCATTTGTAACTGCAACCTCAACAGCCTCTGAAATAGCTATTCCTAAACTACCAGGGCTAGATGGGTCCATCTGTAAGATTTTTCTGCCAGCTTCAGTTATACTAGATGGAGAAGGGTGAACCTTGGCACCCCAGGTTTGCATCATTAATTTACGATAAGGTTTCTGATCATAAGAAGCACGAACTTGCCACACCTACACATAATATCACACTCAAAAGTCATTGACTAATAGACAAGATAAAGGCCATTCAATTTTCATATCCATGGGTATCTGTTCATACTTCACAATTAAGACCAAATAGGCTGCATGCAAAGGCCAATGAACTTCCCCATTGTCCAGCACCAGTTTCTGTTGCAACATTCTTGATGCCTTGCTGAGCATTATACCAGACCTGTGGAACTGCAGTATTGGGCTTATGTGATCCAGCTGGGCTAACACCTTCATATTTGTAGTAGATCTTGGCAGGTGTATCAAGAAGCTTTTCCAATCTCTTAGCCCTGTTTTACATTGCAAAATATATATGCTGTTTGTTTTCTGATAAAGGTAGTAAATTTTCTAACTATAAGTATAAACAGAAGACCCTACTATAGCAGACCTTATCAATGGGGTTGGGCGCCAAAGCCGGTAAATGTCAATAACTTCAGGTGGGATGTCGATGAACTGGTCATTACTTACTTCTTGCATGATCAATTCATCAGGGAACAAAGGAGACAGATCCTCATGTTTAATTGGCTGAAGAGTCTTTGGATGCAAAGCTGGCGGAGGTTTAATTGGGAGGTCTGCAACAAGATTATACCATTGACGAGGAATTTCCACTGCTCTAACATCAGCTGTGGAAGAAATTGCCCTTGCTCTCACTCCATAGCCAGAAGGGAATTTCAAATGTATCAGCTTTGTCTTTTGTGAAAACTTGCCGAACCATTGCTCCTCACCTGCAGCTATCATTGAGGAAGAAAGTATCAGCTCCAATACCCCAAGAGAAAAAATTAACCTATTTCATAGAAATACGTTTTTTTTTCTCTTCTTTTGGGAATGTAACGTGAATGATCACTAGCACAGCTGCCAAGCTCCCATACACTTATTCCAACGGACCACCACCAGCAGAAGCAGCAAGAAAAGCAAGCGGGTAGCAGTTATAAAGGTAATGATACAGTAACAATCACAATTTCTTCTTCAAAATTCTAAAGCAACTAAACAAAACATATATTATCAGAGAGAGAGAGAGAGAGAAAGAGAGAGATTAAGATTTAATTGAACAAAAACAGAGAGAAGAATAAATTAGTACTCCTTTTATGAGTTCCTGATCGTGAAACTAGAGGTGAAAATGCAGACGGAATCGATTTCGCCATCAGAACATTTAAGCTTTCACCTTCAATCAACGCCGCAGTAGCTCCGCAAGTAAATTGAAGATGCGAGTGGGATGAGGATGACAACGAGATTTTAGGGTTGGTTTCTTCTACTTCTACTCTCACCTTCGTGAATATGTCTGGTCAAAACAGAAACCAAGAGAAAAAATTATACATCAATGTTTGTTCGTGAATTAGCATCAAAGCCTAAAAATTTCAACTCTCGGCTGAACCGTCATTCAAATTGTCAGTACGAAAACGATGTCCGTATGACGCCTTTCCCTCTATCAGAAGGGTGGGTACGGGTTGACCGTTGGCCCGACCACCATTAGACCCGACCCAATTACGATCCCGGACAAATTTGGATTGATTATCTTGAGTGCACGTGTACATTTGAAGGGACCAGATCAATCGAACGGTGGACAGTAGATTACATCATAGACTAGCGTCACAAGCAATACATACGTAGACCACATAACTCAGAGCTTCGCTCCACGCTCCTTCGTCTTCTTCCGCAGAGGAGGTTTGCCTTTAGGGAGACGGAGAGGTTTCGTTATCGAGTTGGTTTAGCAGCAGAAGGAAGGTAGAAGGGATGATGAATCAGAACCAGCCACCGAGCGATGGAAGGCACGACGATGATTCGGCTCTCGCTGACTTCCTCGCTTCTCTAATGGACTATACCCCCACTGTAATTCGGATTAAAAGAAAGAAGAATTGTTCTTTTGTTCTTTTTGTCAAATTAATGAATGAATATCAATTATTTATGGGTTTGGATAATGGGTTCTCCTGATTTTACTGGGGTGTTTGCAGATACCTGATGAACTTGTGGAGCACTACGTCGCCAAGAGCGGATTTCAGTGTCCCGACGTGCGATTGTAGGTACTTCTCCCCAAGACTCAATTTGATCCGTTTATGCTTTTATGGTCGTTAGGGTTGATTATTTGGTGAGTTATGTTTGTTGTTTTGTATTCGAGAGAGAAGAGATTACGAGGAGACAAGTTGTATAATTTATTTAGAGTTTAGGGCTTTTGGCTTGTCATCCCAACAATATAATTCAGCTAGTGTTTGGGGATTTATTATTCGTCTTCTTGGATAGACCAGTAGCTTAAAACAGTTGTTGCTATTATGTGCCAATTATGGATTTTTCATGTTTTAGTCCTATATCTTTCTTCTAAGTAGTCAGTAGCATTATCATACTGTAATGCAATCATGAGGTTGAGTACTATCATAGTCCGGCTTACCCGCAAAAGGAGATATCCATTTCCTTGGTACAGGGCAAGGGCCTAGATCAAGAAAGAAGCAACTCATTAAAGCCCAAATAGGAAAAAAAGCAAGAAACTATGGTCCCAGGATTCTTTTTTTTTTTTTTATGAGCAATTAAAAACTTTATTATTAGTATATGCAAAAATGGATAGAAACAGAAGACCAACAGCACCCAAAGCAGCCACCCGGTTGAAAACTAAGGCCAAGTTAAATCTCCTGTTTGAGACATCTTGATGCCAATTAAGAAAAATCCTGATGAGAAAGTGGTCAGGCTTCAACCCACCTAAATATGAATGGAAGAAAGTCCCATAAAGCTGAAACTTCAGGGCAACCAAGAAACACATGATTAATTATTTCCTCCACCACAGATCTACAATTCATATATGACACTTCATTAGAAAATGCAACACAAGGAGCCCTAGTTTCATATGGATAAGGATGTAATGAAATTAGTTTGGGATTATAAAAGGAAACAGCAAGTTTTGGGAATGCTTCCGGAAACCATGCTTTAACCAGTATTTTTTTTTTGCTTTTTAATTTCACCTTGTATTTTTGATAAATGATAGAAAAATTTTACCTTGTATTTATATAATCTTATTTATACTTTCCCTACTGTTACGATCCCCATCATCTTATTTCTATTATAGATGCCACTTCATTATTTCCTTTATTCAAATAAACTCGGGGCCCAAATAACTCTGGCAGCATATGAACTATGCTTTACCGGCATTTTTTCTTATTTCTTAAATCTCCTTTTATTTCCATCTTCCTTTTGTTTTCTGTTTTATTAAGTTGTTTCCTAACCTTCCCTAATCCCTACTGTTTCGGTCCCCATCATCTTATTATCTGTTAATAGATGTTACCTTCATTCATTTCCTTACCATTTCATCATGTTGCCTCCTATTTTGTCACAAAAAAATGCCCCTTGCAACATGATAAGATTTCAGTGAACTAATTTTACCATCAGATACACTATTCAAAATTCTTTTACCATGTGGGTGTATGCCTCTGCAGATAGATGCTCATCTCTTGGTAAAGAAGGGGTTATTTGTTCAGTTGGATGTAAGTGTAACTTCCAAATTCCCAATTTGGAATTGCTACTTTGTATTGAAAAAATGTAGTGTTTTTTTGTTAGGATATTCCATTTGGTTTGTCCTTTTGAAATTTTACAAGCAATCTAGAAATTAATTTACATAGTACAATCTTTCAAAAGTTCAATAAAAAGATTCTGAACTACACTTGGATCATTGTAAAAATCTTCAGAAGAAAAGGTTGCAATTCTTAAGATTATTTTAATTTTCATGTCAATATTAGATCCCAAACCAATAATTCGTAACATGGGAGAGATTGAGGGGGATGTTGCCCATAGAGTTAGAGCAGGATGTGCAAAATGGAGGGGTGCATCCTGAGTCTAATGTGATAGGCAAATACCACTTGTGGTAAAAAGAAAATTCTATAAAACAATTGTGAGGCCACCTATGTTATATGGAGCTATGTGTTGGGCAATTAAGAAACAGCATGTCTAAAAAATGATTGTGACAAAATGTAAATGCTTAGATGGATGAGTGGTAAAAATAAAATTAGAAAGGATAGGATAGGAAATGAAGTCATACGCAGGAACCTAGAAGTAGCTCCAATAGGTGATAGAATGAGACAAAGTAGATTGAAAATTTGAGATGGTTTGGTCACGTGCATAGAGGACCATTTGCAGCACCTGTCAGGAAAAGTGATCTGTTACAAGTTCAAGGGGCTAGAAAGCCCCCAGCTCAAAACATCCTAAAGCTTAACTTTGATAGAAGCTATATTGGTAATCTTCGATTTATATTCAGGAACTCAGGAGTGGTAATGGCTTTATGTTCAGGACCTTTGGAACATGGGGATGCATTGATAGCTGAATTGGTTAGTTTACTGCATGGCTTAAAATTAGCAAAACAATTTGGCTTCCACAATCTAGAAGTGGAAGGGGATTCCCAGGTGGTAATTTCTTGGACAAGAGAAAATGTCCAAATCCCTTGGGCTTTTCGGCAAACATATAGGGAGATTGCACATTTAAAAAGGGAGCTGAATGTCTCTTTCAAATGGGTGAGAAGAACAGCAAACGGAATGGAAGACACTCTAGCGAAACAAGGGGCATCAAGACAGCAGTTGTTCTGGCCACTTCTGTGAAATCTTGTACTTATGGGATGGATCTTAATCAAATTTGATTGTAATCTTCGATTTTCATTAAAAAATCTACTGATCAAAAAGAAATGTTCAAGGGGCTAGAAGAGATAGGGGAAGTCCAAAAAAGACTTGGGTGGAAGTGATGAGAAATTACTTAAGCACCTCTGCACCTATAATTCAACAATGGATATGGCACTTAACAGAGCGGAATAACAAAACATGATTCGTGTAGTCAACCTGTATGGTTGGGACAAAGCTTAGATGATGATTAGATCCTAAACCAGTTAATAAAAAAAATCATAAACCAACATTTATATGTGACTTGAGACTAGGTTCTATGATCAATATATTACATTCTCGGATGCTAATGTTTTTATCATGTAAAGCACTTTCAAATTCTTCGTAGGTAGTATCTTGTTTCTTGTTTATCAGCTTTCTAGTTTGTAGCTAACCAGCATATTCTTTTCTGTTGGCAGAATCAGGCTAGTAGCTGTTGCTACTCAAAAGTTCATTTCCGAGGTCGCCACTGATGCTTTGCAGTATGCTCATATCTTATTCTACTTCTGAGTTTCATTTGTTTACATATACAGATAAATCTACCATTTCTAAGAGAATTTTCAGCCATATAGTTTCTATAATGTATCTCTTATAAGAATGGCTGCACTAGGGTCAGATTCTGTCAATTTGTCTTCAAATCATTGGTGTAGTTTCCTGGTGTTCTTTTACTATGCTCTGACCTGCCTGAAACTATTTTTCTCTCTATGCATCCTGAGCTAGGCAGTGCAAGGCAAGGCAATCAGCAGCAGTTAAGGATAAGAGAGATAAGCAGCAAAAGGTGTATTTGATTCCCCCTTTTTGTTTAAATTTTTGCATATTTTATGCAATCAAACAGCTATACATAACCCTTATACTTTCTGTTGCAGCAGGATAAGCGCCTGATCTTGACAATGGAGGATTTATCCAAGGCACTGCATGAGGTAAGCAGATAGAGAGCCTTAAATTCCATTTCTTTTTTCCAATAAGTTAAAGGTCCTTCTATGTTTTAACACTCAATTGCTTCTGCATAAAAATGCTGGTTAAGTGGCTGGCAGTAATTCAGTTTTAATTTTGTCTAATGTACAAGAAGCCCAACAATAATGGTTTCCTTTTGCTTGGAGTCCAATGGAAAATTTCAAGTTTCTCATTCATGTGCAACTCTACCGCTTGTAATAGTGCATGTATCAGTTTCTTGTGATTATTCATGGATTCTTTGCAGTAATTGGGGCATCCATCATTAAAGCAACCTTTTTTTTCCGAAGGTTGCCCTTATCTCAGATTTGAGGGTTTTGTTCCTGTAACCAAGGATAAATACCCTTGGTTATCAACAAAGTCCTCTTGGCTCTTTCTGTATCTGTTGCATACTCCATATATGGCTCAATTACACAGTGAATTACTGATTAATTTTTTTCCTTTTTAATCGCAAACAGTATGGTGTTAATGTGAAGCGTCAAGAATATTTTGCTGATAGCCCTTCAGCTGGAATTGATCCTGCATCAAGGGAAGAATGAGCCAGGTCACACGAAAGTATTACTGGGAGGATCTAGTCATTGTTTTCTTCCCTTTGGGCTTTAATTGCTAAATATATTCTTCTGTTAAAAATGTATTGGTTACAGAGTTTGTATCTTTTATGCCATGTTACAGAATTGCAGGGAGGCGTAGATTTTTTTACCCCCATGTTTCTCTTTCCTAATATCCCTAGAGGATCTATTTCTTACTTTGGTTGTGTTCTAGTGTGCATGTATTTTTCTCCTTTCTGGTATGCTTTCTACTTTTTCTCGTGCTTGTGCACAGGGAATAGGGGAAGATGATCATAACAATGGTTGATGGCAATGTTTTGCATATTAGACAACAGAAACTGTAGAAAATTTGTGCTTTGGGGTCTCCATAAGGCTATGTTTGGTTTGAACTTTGAAGGAAAAGGTAGGAAAGGAAGGGAAACATAAGGATACAAGGGTTGTAAAGGTTTCCCTACATTTCCTTTCCTTTCCAAACCAAACACAGCCTAAACCCTATCCCGTTTCCCGTCGACTCTTCCAAATGATCATGATTGGTTTTCTGTATATGACACGCATTGGTTCCGGTCGAGGTCAAGGGAGACCTGGTCCCGAACAAATAAGAAAACCTTTCATTACCCCATTTCGGGAGCAGATGGCAATTGGCAGCAGACCCTGTAGGATTTATAATATAATTAATCATCCAGAATTAGCTCTATAGACATAGTTGTACGGTTGTACCACAAAAGCTAAAAAACAAAAATAACCAACCCGGGCGTTTCGAGTCTTTAGCTGTTAATCGGGTTGGCGCTTGGAACTGGTAAAATCAGTCACAAACTCACAATCTGATTCGCCAACCGGCAAGTGGCAACAACCAGTGCTCCCATATTAAAAACCTTCTTGATCCGTTTGTATAGAATATAATAAAACTTTATATAGTTGACGAGGTTTAATTAAACAAATCACCCATCAGCATGACAAATTACTAGACCGTATTACAACAATATAATATTATTTTAACATTTTAGGCATCTTGTATGGAAAAAATGAATGTGGCATAAACAACTCTTAGGTGATAAAATGAGATAAACTATATTAATATGATCTGGTTATATGCATAGAAGATCATCAACTTGTTGCAACTTACAAGTTGGAGGGGCCAGAAGGGCAAAGGGACAGACAAAAAATGACATGGATAATAGTAATAAATGATTTCAAAGTGTCAATAATTTAACAATGGATATGATATTGAAAGCCAGAATGGCGAAGTGTGTCAATAATTTAACAATGGATATTGAGCAAAACAGAATGGCATGATTCATGCAGCAAACTCCATATAGTTGGATAAGACTTGGAAGTTGATTATGATGATGAAGGTACCTTAATTCTTATACCACTCTGCAATGCTTAAAAGTATTTTCCGGTAGCCTAGACTACATAAATTATTAAAATATGTATTTTCTTATATTTATACTTGCATTTACTTGAGCTTTGGATTTGAACCTTCAATGAAATTACTATTGAAGCTTAGAACAGATCTAGAAATAATAATGCACAGGACCTTCCGGGTGGAGTTCTGTACGTTATGACCTTACGGAGCTTATCAACTTGTGGCCAGTAATGCAGGTCCTAAACACCGAATTCCATCTTACACATCTTATGTTCTTGTTTCATGATCACATCTTGTGCATATTTTATAACACATTTAATGTGTAGGTGCAAATACGTTGTCTTCTATTTCTATGCTTGTCATAAGTCCCAGTCCCAACTACTAGAAGTCTAGAACTCACATCTGCAGCAATCATAGTCTCCACAAATTACAGCAGCCACCAATGTTGGAGGGAGACTTAAATTTACAAGAATCTCTTTCCTCCCTTGAATGACTTCTTGTCCCATATTGACTGCGAAAGGGGTGAAAGTGGAGTTCCTGCAATTCATAGTTTCGAGTTCCTGCAACTTCACACCACTGCAACTTCGGTTTGAAAAGTGATTACCGATAAATTCCATATGCTCTCTTTAATATTATTACAACAACCAATCAAAAAGCGAACACATCAGTGCTTATCTTTTTTGCATTTAATGGTAAGTTAATCGGTGGTAAATGTTAAAAATACTTCTCTCCTGTGTCCCCAATCAACCCATTTGTCTTCTCTTCCCCATCTCTCCCCTTCTCCAAGATACAAACCCCATCCCTATTCTCCATTTCGTCGATCACACCAACGCAGGCAAGACTGTTTGAGAATCTCAAAGGATAAGCGTAAGAGATTTTTAATGGACTCTACATAGAAAAGGTCCATGAAGATTTGTAAGGGATAAGCAAGTACTATACTGGTTTGTAGAACACTTTGTCTCTCTAGATTCTGTCATTCTCTACTTAATACGATCAAAACATGTTGAAAACAAGATCACCATCATCTTATTCATACAATCCTCAGAATTAGTCTCAGAAATACAACTGGTCTGCAACAGGTTGTCCCTGTCAAATCCCATCGCTGAATAACACTAAGTGTAATGTTTACAGAAGTGTCGACCATTCGAAAGCTGCAATGAAGCAAATTCATTAATGGGTAACAAGGTTCAAAATATTTATATGCCGGTAGGGGCATATCAAGCAAATCAATACTGTTTTTTTTTTTTTTTTTTTTTTTCTGAAACTGGTTCAGGGGGCCGGTTTAGGGCTCCTCCACCCCCTGAACCGGTTAGACCCCTGATACACCCATTATAGGGGCGTATCGGAGGGGTCCCGGAATGATACGTATCGGCTGATATATGTCGATACTTTGAACCTTGATGTGTAATAGTTGTTTGAAGGGTTTCAGACCAAAATCTACGGAAGAGTGGATATAGGAAATTGTTCCAGTTGGTGTCACTGCAACAGATCGATATTGAAGAAGAAGATAAAGAAGACAAACAGGGTGGGCCTACGCAATCTATAGTGACCACTGCAACATACACCATTGTTGGCGTTGGTGTAATTGGCAGAGTGAATAATGAGAATGGGGTTTGTAGCTCAAATACACGCTAAAGTGTTTTAACATTTATATGGGTTCCACCTGTTAACTTACCATTAAACGTGAAAAAGATAAGCACTGACATGTTCGCTTTTGATTGGCAGTTGCCAAAGTTGCAAAAACGGTGCAGATGTGAGTTCCAACCACCAAAAGACTAATTACCCTCTTTTCGATCTCTTTATTTTTCTGATATAAATAGGGGAAAATCACGGAAAAGATATGGTATAAAAAGAGACCAATCAAAACCCACTCATGAATTGATAAATAACACCTGAATCATTATCACATAGACATGAAATCTATCGGCCCGGCTATTTGCTTATTTTGTTTGTAAAGCCCAAGTTTCTATTAGCTACAACTCTAAAACTCATAGTTCTCTAGTATATTTTAATTTTCTCTTTGGTTAAAAAAGAGTCCCAACTCCCACAAGGCATGGCCAAGGAAAAAAACCATGGCTTTTTAAAACCAAACCGGATCAAATGGTTGGACCAGAAAAATTGGGAATCGGTCCATTTTCCCTAAAAACTAAATTTCCCCCAAAACCATTGATTTTAGTTAACAAACCACTGAACCGGGTGGTTAATCATTTGAACGGTTTTAACCATTTTTTATTTTTTTTTGTCACAATGGGCCAAGCATTTGGTTCAAACAGTCAGATTGTTCGACCCAGTCACAACAGTGACCAGTTGGTTTTAAAAACCATGAAAAAAACAAAATGAATTGACAGCTAACTAAGACTGATTCAAGGCAACGGGCTGGATTTAGTCGAAGCTTGGACTAACCGTCATGACATCAACCAATGATAAGAACTACCCTCATCAGTTATCATTTCAACCTTCAAATCTACCACGAGTTTTCTCCCCTTGAAAGATATTGCTGGTTTCGATCTTGGCGGCATCTTGATGGATCAGGCTGCATTTGATTCGCATCCAGCCCTACCAACCACGCCTATCAAGTATAATATATCATAGTGGCGATACCCAAGAAAAACACAGCTATTATGCAGACTTGCAGAGTCAAAAGAACCTACTCCGACAAACCAAAGGTTTTAAAAACCAGACTGGATACAGAACCGTTCTGGGAATCGGTTCCCAGGTCAAACAGTTTGACCATTTGGTTCAAACAGATGATCCATTCTGACTTAAAAAAAATAAAATAAGTGGCCAAAAACCAGTCCGGGTTGACAGTTTGACCACCCAGGTCAGCAAATCACTGATCAAATCAATAGTTTTTGGCTAAAAAGCAGCTTTAGGGTGAAATGGAACCGGTTACCTGACTGATTCCCAGGTCAACCGGTCCATCCATCCGGTCCAGTCAGGTTTTCAAAACCATGCGACAAGCCCTTATTCAATACAAAAGCTGGCACTAATTTTTAATCTTTCCTGGGTTTTTATTAATAGAAAATGAAGCGTAATATTCTGCTTCTGCAAACAAATAGGATCTCCAAATAAATTTAGGGAGTTAATGGTAAATCTAACTTATTGCTACCAATTTTTTGGAGGCATTGAGATCTGGGGAAATAAAGGGACGGACACCGTACATCCATAGCTTCTCTAAGCATTTTCCTTGCTTGGCAGTAGTTGGCACTTGGCACCATTCATGTTAACAATTCATTATATAGACATCACTTGGCTCTTCAGTGTACATAGAAGAAAAAATATGAGAATGAAGAATGGATGCAGAATACAAAGAAATAAATAAATAAATAATAAAGATTAAAGACATTTTAAATACATCTAAACAAGAGTTATTTCCAAATAAATCCGTAAAGAATAGAATGCAAACCGTACAAAGATAAAATAAGATGGACCCACACATGGTGGACACTCAACTGAAAGGCAAACCAAAATCTGGAACCAGAGGGAGCACTTCAACTTTACAAACTCAACCATACCGACCTAAGGTTGGTGCTGCAAGAATATGATAAATTAACTAATGGTCAATCAAATATTAAAGTTACAATCACTAATTATTACAAACTTATAATATACAAACAGGAATTAAGCTGTGTTATCGATTCAGGACCGTCTGTATTGCGCTCTGCTGAGCCTGTGCCAAATTCTGCAGTTCCAACGAAAAACAAGATATGCCATTTGTACTTCAGAAACCAGAAAATGTTCCAACAAATAATATCCCTCCTAGTTTACAGAAAGAAAAAAATCTCTCCCATACATATGCTTTGATTGTTGAGTGACAAACCTGGAAAAGATGATCGAATACCATTCTGTCACCGTTGGAGAACTTTATTACGAAATCCACAATAAAATTAGCCAGGTTAATCTGCAATACGGAAATGCAAGAATTAAAGGGGGCAAACTTCAAATACTACATAATACCAAAATGAATGGTTAAAATTGGCTTGGCACAGACCTCATTAATAGGGTCTGACCCACTTAGAAGGTCATCTTCATCATTGTCGTCATGGCTCTTACGAAAAAAAACAAGCTTGATTAGCAACAAAATTGCAGAATGTAGGAGACTAAATGAAGTCACTCACAGCTTACCTCATTAAAAATTTTTGCCATCCTGTCAAGATGTTCAAATTTGGGCTTGTTGAATGTTGTACTGGATGAATATAGCAAGTCTTGGATAGTGTCACCATTTGCATCTGTATCTTCTTCCCAGTCACTATCCTGCCATGATGTTTTGTTCCATGTTTCAAGTGCCATTCCTGAACGAGAAGCTCTATATAACAGAAATACTAAATGCACATTAACTACCTCATCATCACTAACAGAAACTTGCTCTTGGATCTCTATCAATACATCTGCCAACAAGGCAAGTATCTGTAATGCCAAAAAAGAACACATTGTAAGTATAACCGTTCCATATTGGTCTATTGACTCAGAACTTAAACAGACGAAGTCCAATAACTGATACGAGTAAGGAAATAAAGAAAACCTAAAAACCCACATTATCCCCAATTAGAGCATTGCCCACAGGAGTTGAATAAACAATCTCAACTAAAAATTGAAGCATCTAACGCAAAATGACACCTCATGTGGAGGAATTGAGGTATCATGGCGGAAGTCAGTTTTTGACTTGTATTAGTGCTCAGGTAATAGGTGGGAACTCCAATGGATACCCAAAACATCATAACAGTATGAGAAAAACAGTATTCAGATATCTTCTTAGATACCATTTAAATTAATGATAGGAAAAAAGATAAGCATTAAAAAGCACGGCAAGCTTGACAGTAACACTATGCTGGTACTTGTATCTCCTAGATGGGTCAACCGTCAACTCAATCCAACCTTTTGGAATGTTAAGGTCTGAGAAATGCAGCATAACCTTTCTTAAAGCAGTGATTTCTATTTCTAAGCACAAAAATAAATAAATAAATAAATAAAATAAAACACACCATGCCCAGAACAATTGAAGAGAACCAGAATACCTTTGCGGGAAGTGTCATCATAGTCCATTGATCTGGAGCTACTTTGGCTTTTGACCGAGTAACTATGCCTGCAGTTGACTGTACAGGAAACAAGGCTAAGCTTCCTAGGGATTGTGTCCATCAGTAACTATGCAGATGAAGCCTTGAAAAAATTATCCATCCATAACGATGCAGATGGAGCTTATACAAACCTTAATAAGATGACCTTGGGCATAAATTTTTGACAGTTCAACATGCCTTGTGGAGAGCAGTAGGGCCAAAGCTGTTGTTGTCACTTTAATTTGATAGGCCCCTTGAATTTCCCCTGAATTCAATTAACATCTGGTTAGGTTAGAATTCAGTTTTATAAAAGCTCTTAGTTATGAGCATCTAACTTCTTTACTTACAAATAAAAAAACCAAGAGCATCTAATTTTGATAAATTCAGAAACAACTATGATAAGTTCATTAAGTTGCATGTGCAATAATGATTATTTCATGAGAAGCCATTACCTATGTTGGTCCCTGCTACTTATGGGCGTGGGTGGGGAGGATTTGGACTGGATATGGATCTAACCTTGGCTTTTTTTGCGGGTGCAAAGTGGCTGTTCCCAGACTAAAATGTGTCTTTCACACTTGTCAGCCCAAGATTTTTCCATTGAACCAAATTATGAAATTGAATGAATTAGTGCAAACAAAAAACTCCGAAAGGGGAAATTGGAGATAGACCTGTTAATGGGCCAGCTCAGGCTTGGCTTTTGCCAAAATTTAAATGGGCCCGGCCCGAAGCCCAAGCCCAACATACTGTAAAGTCAGGCCCGAAGCCCGGCCCGTGAACAGGTCTAATTGGAGAACAAAGAAACAATTGTCTGAAGCATTGTTTTTAGCCCGTCATTCACCCAGTTGGTCAGACAGGTCAATCCATCATCCAGCCAGCAATCCATGTCCATTTTGCCCCTGAACCCCTGGCTTTTTTGCATGCAAAAAGAATGTTGCTGTTGAATTATTGAAACTTTAGACCCAATCAGTGGGTCACAAACTAGACAATTAACCACCCCCCTTATTGAAGAGCTTTCATCCAAATCCTAATATCGAATGTTTTAAAACTGATATCCATGTAAGTTTTTTTTTTCTTTTTTTTTTTGCATTTTCTTGTATTGTTAGCCATTTCCATCATTAAGTAAAAAAAATTCTAATTTTAAAACTTATTTTTGTTAAATATGAGCTGATTTTATTTTTAAAATTTTTACTGTGTAATTAGTTAATGACATTATGGGCTGACCCATTTGACCCAGAAAATTGAACCACTGACCTGCCACCCAAAGGGAAAAGCAATACCATTTCAAGCTCAGCTTTTAAAACAGAGGTCTAAAGTGGCAATCCAATAGAAAACACAACTTTTGATAGAGCAGAATTGCAGGATATGATTCATTTAGCTGACCCCAAATATTTTCTATTAAAGTTACGTTTTGTGTGATATGGTTAAAATATTAATTGTTCAAGACAAAATCTGTATGAATGATGCTCACCTTGTTGCTTTGTCCATTCTGACATTACATACACAAGAGCATTTTCATGATCTTTAGCCGGCAGAGTGATCAGCAAGTCAATGAACTGCTCAACATTTGGGCAACTTAGATGCACCTAGAGAAACAAATAGGCAACAAAAGATGGAAAATTTATCCAATCAAAAGAAAATATGAGAAGACCAATAACACTAATATAAGCAATCACACACCGAAAATATGAGAAGACCAATAACACTAATATACATGCCACCTTCATCATGGTAGAAAGGAAACTTTAATGTCTGACAGAAGGGGGGGGGG